AAAAGCAAGTATTCTTAGGGATGGAAACCTTCTGTAGCCCCATTTTAGGATAATGCCTTACGCACATCACTTATTGCCTTTCCCCTATAATTTGGGAGCAACAGTCATAGATAAATTTCAAAAGCTCCTTGCTGCTGATCATCAGTCAGGCCAGTGGAACATAGGAACACGAGCAGTCCTAACTTTTTAGCTTAACTAGCAAATACAGATGGCAAATTCAAATAGCTGATGAGCTTTCCTCCTGCTGTTGGTGCACAGTTAAATCCCTTGGGAACGAGCTATTGAAATATCACTTTACAACCACCCAACTAAGTCTCAGAAGTGCTAAGCTGTTACACATATGACAGCATTTGCTTACCATACCAGAGTTTACATTGGGGTCTGTTTGCTTTTCTTCTGTAATCTATGACAATACAGTAGCAGGGGATATGTCTTGTCATTTTCTAGACTAGTGCTAGTCCCCTACTTCTGACTAATATTTCCCAATGCACCCTAAAAAAGCCCCAACTATATCTATAGCTTATTCATGTCCTAGTAAACAACCTAGACAAGAGGTATGCTGTATGCTTCAGACTCTGGGCATGTACCTGAGTGGATGCCCCAAATCAACAGTCCAATGCACAAATGCAAACAGCTGTTCTTTCCCTTCCTCTCAGTATATACCACATCATCTAGCAGTGGTAGCTGCTGCCACCACCATCACTGGTCACCAGTCTGTCAAGATGGACAAGAAGTAGCCTGAATAGCAATTTCCCACATTTGCTATGTAAACAACTTGCCCCCCTTCTCTCTTGCAATAGAAGAGTTAACCAGACAAAAGCATCCCACATGCCAGATCCTGCCCACCAGCCAACTGTCAATCCACGCTGATCCAAACTGTCCTTTATTGGAAGTTGTAAGGAGGAAAAAATATACTTTTTAAAATAACTCCCTAATCGCTCACTACAAACTGCACTTCAGCACAGCTGTTCATACACAATAGCACACCCAGTTCAAGTCCAAGCTTGCAGGTCTTCAAATACTACCTCACAGTTCATTAAAAGCTTGATTCTCTCTAATGCTGAAACTGATAGTAAAAGCTTCTCAATTTCACCATGAGGAAAAATAAGTTTTAAGTGCTGGAAGCACTGGTGCTGGAATTTATAAAGAGGGGCTTTTTTAACTCTAGATTAATAGATGTATGAAACATCTATTTTGATCAATAATTAGCACGGTAACATTCAACAGATCATTTGACTGCAGTGTGACTGGCTCTCAATGCATTTTTTTGTTCAAACCTTTCCAGATGGACAGTAAGAGCCTGAAAGATTCCCCACTACCACCCTTCATTTCAGCTGCTTACAATGACAGGACTGAAAAGCTTGTTTTGAGCTTTTATATATCAATAAGATAAGTTATCATGACACTCTTGGCTTTCATTGCCTACAGCAACTAACAAGCGATAATGCTAAAGAATCTCTGCTTTTAAAATGCAGCTGTTTCAGGAGCCATTTTCAGTTCTGTTAGACCCATTCTTCCAGCAAGAGAAAATGACATTTTGCCACAATTACTTAGGGATATAAATCAGGATTAACCAGATGCATTTCTTTATAAATATTTCCTCAATTCATCCACTTAAAGCATAGGATGCATCCACAAAAGACATTCTTAAGCCCCGTCGTCCTGCCATCAACGAACAAGTTAAGGAATAGGTTAGTCATGAAGACTAACGCAAGTGTGGTCACACTTGCAAAACATTTAGGAAGAGAGGCAACGGGGACAAACCAAAACACGGGAAATTCTACTTGAGCAAAATAAAACAACTTTGACTGTGGAGGGGGTTAACAGTAGAACTGGAACAGGTTGCTCAAAGAGGCTTGGAGTCTCCATCCTTGGAGATGCTCAAAACCTGACTGGACACTGTCCCAGGCAATCTGTAGTAGATGACCCTGCTCGAGCAGGGACCAGATGATCTCCAGAGGTCTCTTAACCCCTATTTTATGATTCCGACATGGCTTTTCACTCTTGGAACTATGTCACTAAGAGGTGCTTTGTTTTCTACTCATTGAATTACACTGGCACAATTAAATTTAGACTAAGCCCAAGTTACAGCTTCAGGACTTCAGTTATTAAAAGCACTCACCTTAAATTCACATTTGAGAATCTGTTCTTTTGAGGGATTTATAACCATGACTCAAGACCATCATTACACTCATCTTTATCCAGAAAAAACTGCAGCACTGGGTGTTCTAAAGGAAACTGCCTGCTAAAACAAATCATTGAGCTGGGTTCTGTGCTAGCAGGTAGAAAACAATTACCTTGCATGATGTAGCACCATGCTCAGATCAACCAGATTTTTGCATTATGCAAGTGGCACATACACCAGAATGACTTTTCCATTTTATTTCTTGTTTCCATAAGAAAGAATATGAAAAGCTGAGCAAGATATGATCTAGGACTAGAGTCAAGATTACACTCCTACATTAAAATAAAAGTGAATGTGCCAGGAAGCTCAAACTCCAATGCTTTCATTGATACTCTCTGCAGCTTTTGAGGAAAGTAAAACATCTGCAGGGTGACAGCCCCTTGAAGGTGAGATGTTTTGCAATTCTTAAAGACTTGAAGCTTGGGTAATACAGCAAAATACGATGATTTGTTATTAACACATCAGACTGTAGTTTCAGAGCTTCTTGATTTAACTGCAGACACTGACAATAGCATACAGACACTTCAGCGCATGGTCCTTACACTTGCAGAGCACACAGCAAAACAATACTCCAGACTGTTACGAGCTTACACTTGCTACAATTAACATTTCTGCCGCAACCATGCAAGTGTCCTACATAACCCTAAATATTTACTTGTCTAGAATATCCTGTTAACTGATGATTCAGTTTCTGCTCCTACAAACTCCCACAAAAGTTTCTGTTCCTGCAAAAAAAAAAAAAAAAAAAAGGTTCTGTTCTGGTTTCCTTTCACAAATTAAATACAATGACTAATAACAAAAACTTTTATTTGCAGAATTTACTTGGTTCTTGCACAAGCTTGGGACAGATTGAAACGAAAAAGCTCAGCACAGAGAAGGCCATACTCCTGAACAGTCCACACCTCCTTATAAAGTTCATCTGATGCGGTACTTAGGTTTATATCCATTTACACAGAACTGGTTCACGTTTTAGAACGAGCACTTGCTCTGAAATTAGGGACAATACTTCCACTGTTCAAGGCCAGCGGCCATCTCCATTCCCCGCTTTTTCCCTAAGTGACAGGCTGGTAAGACTAGCTTATCCCAGGACCAGTTATCTCTTCACTCCAAGTGGACATCCATTGATTTTCTGTGACAGCTCTTCAGTTTCAAACCTGGAAGCAAGTAGCAAAGCAACTCAAAACACTTGTCTACTTCATAACAACATCAATTGCACCGAGGCACTGAACCCAAATTTCAAGTGCAGACTCATATCTTACGGTATACCAGAAGAAAAGCATACGTTTCCTAAGTAATTATTCCCCATCATCACTGTTTGCTTTTTTAAGTCGACTAGAACTGTGCAATAAAAGGCACTGCATTCAAGAGGAGAAAGGGCATAGACTTAAGTTCGATACAGATTGCTAAACTTTCACACAGAGCCTACACTACCTCACTTAACCTTGTTCATAACGCTCTCCAAAAATCAAAACACTCATGTAAGCAGGACAGCTGCCCAGTAAATCAGAAGCCAAATATCAGCAAACAGGAAAAACAGAGTTATCCAAAGGAAGGATGTGATGGAGAGGGAACGTTTCTCCACCTTTCAGAAAGCACTGCACATTTTATCCATGCTCATCCCCAAACCCCAATAACAGACAAAAAGAGGAGGAGTGGGCTCCTCAGCTGCTCCAGCCCCCTCAGAGTTACCCAAGCTTAAAGCCAGCTTATCCACAGGAGGAAAAGACGCCACAACTCCCCAAATTCCATTTACACACAGTAACTCTACGGGTATGGCAAGAGCTGCTCTGGGAGAGGGAAAGTCACCCTCGGGGAAAGGGGACAGAGCCCACCGCCCCCCAGGCAAAGGGGGCCTCACCCTCCCCTCTTCTCCACCACCCCAAAAAAAAAGGTGCTCAACCCCCCACTCCACCAGGAGCCTTCCCTGCATGGCCTCAAGGACCCTTCCTTCACCTCAGCCGTGCCCCCTCCGCCCCCTTCAGCGAGGCCCCGCTCCCGGCCCCTCACACCGACAACTCCCCCCCGCCCAGGGAGCCGCCGGCTGCCGCCCCCGGGCCGCCCCGCCCCCCCCGCGCCCGC